AGGCTGTATGGACTAAAATTAAAAAAACAGATAAATAAGATTTAACAGCCTGTCAGCTCATTTTCGTTTGATGGTCCTTTCGCAAACTGTATTTATTCAATAAAATAATTTTCTGTAACTTAATATGTAACGTTTTAATTTACGAGCACGACAGAATTTGGGTAATAAGTAGGTACTTAAAAAATTGGATATTTAGGGGATTTTAGGGGAATTTAAAAAATACTTAGGGGATAATTTTGGTAAGGGTTGGTAGCACTGTCGCGCTTCGCGCTCTTGCATTGCGCAGTCGGGTAAAAACACTATAACCTGTCTGCGCGTCGCGCTTCGCGCTCTTGCATTGTGCAGTCGGGTAAAAAGGCGGACAATTGGCGGTCTTATGGCTATGTAGCCATTTCTTCCAGACAACCATAGGATGGACAGACGAAATTTAATTAAAAAGGGGGTGTGCAATTACAAAACTAAAATAGAAAAAAAAAGAAAATAATATATAACCATAATTAAAATTACTGTTCATATTATAATATAAAAACTGATAAAAAATTCAAATAAACGAACGAAAACATACATCGGTACATGAAATAAAATACACATTTTTAATAAATTTAATAATAGTAACATGATGCAAGCAAAAACAGGAAGAATGCATGGGAACAACACAAACTATTATTGTAAAAGGAAAAATTCTTTTACCTCACTTAAGTTATTTATGATACACGTGCTAAAGGTAGGTCAATAAGGACAAGTTCCACATAGTGAAAGCTATAGCGCAGCGAGTGTTTTTAGTGGTACGCATTCGTAATAACCTTTTACGCTCACGTGTCATATAACATTTTTCAATGTTTTTTACGAGGGAATAAAATAATAATAATATTAACCTTTTTTTTTAATTACTTAAACTAAACTTCTATGTATCGTGTTATTTAAATCTTTTACTTTACATGGGAGGTTTTTTACCAAGGAAGTAACTTATCAAAGGTCTTATTTAAATTACGAACAGTACCCTTAGCACGAACCAAAATCGAATTCGTATCGTTTGCGAGTCCGAAATGTCATTGTCAAATGTGTACTGCACTAGCACCTGGGTTCCGAACCTGGGGGTAATTACCCCTCCGGGGGTAAATCAGTCATATTTTGGGGGTGACAAAGAACCTAATTATTTGGTCAAATCTAAATAATAATAAAATACTATATAATAATACTACTAAATAGAGCATGCGCTCCTTCTTGCTAGCGAGCCCGCGGGGTGCTGAGTGTGATAAGCAGGGCGAGATTTTCTCCTGATGATGACATTATTAGAGACGAAGATGTAGCGGCCAAATTAGAATTTCTTGGACTGATGATAACATTTTATAAAATCGGGGTAAAATCTGTTTTCCTAATAGGTTACAGGGGTAGCAGAATTGGAAAGGTTAGGAAACACTCTAGCACGAACCAATATCGAATTCGTATCGTTTGCGAGTCCGAAATGTCATTATCAAATGTGCACTGATTTTTAGTTCTCGTTACGTACTTTGTGCCGCTGCTGTTCAAGTGTCCATACAAAATTTGACACTGACATTTCAGTTTGCATACTATTCGAATTCGATAATGGTTCGTACTAGGGGTACTGATTTTTAGTTCTCGTTACGTACTTTGTGCCGCTGCTGTTCAAATTTCCATACAAAATTTGGCATTGACATTTCGGTTTGCAAACTATTCGAATTCGATAATGGTTCGTGCTAGGGGTACAGAACTGCAACATAGACAGCTGTAGAAAAAAAAACAAATGAACACAATGCTGCGGGGCGCTAGGGCGTAGCGCAAAGATTAACAATTAAAAAAAACAATGGGTTGCACTCTTTTGAATATTAAACTTGAATATTAACGTTGTGCATTTTTGATATTTTGGAATGGTTAGGGAATAATTTTGCACGAATTGCTTTAATTATCAGTATAAAAGTCCTATCATTTATGTGGTAGAATACAATATTATTGCGCTATCGTACACAAACATGACAATTTATATAACATTAAAAAAGTTTATCTCTCAGAAAAATCAACTTTCATGAATCAGGTTTAAGCGCACTTAGCGACATCTATTGTAAAAAGATCAACTAACATGAATCACATTTAAGCGCACCTAGCGACATCTGTTGTAAAAAAATGCATGCATTTTCTTCGCAATAAAACTGCCACATGGACGCCCTAGAGAGATACTTATTATTATAATTCGATAAAATTAAATATTACTATGTTTCGTCCAATATATTGAAAGTCAACATCCTTTCCAATTTTATTGTTTTCGTCATATTCCCGATCAGGCCACGTATCATGACGCGATCAGCTCACGTGTCCTGACGCGAGTTTAACATTTTTTACCCATACAAAAAAAAGTGTACCTACAACGCCGCTAAAGAAGTTTTCACTTCAAAAATTACTAAAGTAATTAGAGTCACTTTCCGCATAATGTATGTGTTGCACATAGGTAAATTACAAGTTAAATAAAATCTAAACAAAATTTTACTAGAAAAACTTTCAACGTGGTCTAGCAGATGGGACTACAACGTGGATCGCGTGGAATTGTTTCTGGCAAATTTTTCTCTACATCTTTAAATCTAGCAGTTAATTGATTAAAATAAATAAGTTTCTTACAAAAAAAATAATGACTTTTCTGTCTATTAGTCACTTAAATGATGCATTTATTTTACATTATTAAAAATATGAACTTGAGCAGAACATAATAATCACTAATTGTTTAAGTTAACAGCAGTGTCAAAAAAAGGTGTTCCTAAATTTAATTTACAAACCCAAAACAGCATTTTCGATTCGGAAAATATTGTAAAACAGTTTAGACACGATTTTAAATCTCTTGAACAGTTTTTCTCGAATAGGTAGCCGTATCGGTGACTTATTAATGCTTACAGCTGTACAAAATGGAAATGTTGTCAATCCATTAATCAATAATCAATAATCAATAATCAAAATCATTTATTCAGTTTAGGCTGTTACAAGCACATATGAATGTCTAGAAGCTACGCCATCGGTTCGTAAATCTACGGCGGGAGACCTTGTACTGAGAAGAACCGGCAAGAAACTTAGCAAGGGCTGTTTTTTTCTCCCTGTTTTATCATTTACAGAGTCGTCAAGTTGAAAAATGACTTCAGAGATGATTCATGAAGTCACCCTTCATTACATAATGTGAAATTATACATTAATTGTACACCTGCATTTTGATTGCTGTGTCACACAGTATAAATACAAACAGAGTTATTTATAATAGGTGTAATTAAACATTTATATCTTAAATATCAAAGTAGTTAGGGCAGACTCATCTCCGCTGGCAGCACCCGTTCACGAGCATGACGCATGAACCAGCCATCGCTTCGCTCAACCATATTTTAGGGAACGTAACGACCCGCCTCACACGACACCACCGAAGAGACTTTTAAGAGAGCATGACTACCCATAACTACCTATATCAACCACAACATATTTACTTAAACTTAAAGTCATTTATCTGTAGGACACTGCAAACAATTACAAAGCAAAAACAATGGAGAAATCATGACCACGCCGTTTTGTCATTCAAATCTTCTTAAATAGTCTGATATTCTTCCTTACGTAATCAGCTTTAAATACAGCTTTTCAATAAAAGTATCATCAACACATGATCCATAATATATATCATATAGAAATACCCGTTGGAATGGTTGGAACAGTTCAAACCCAAGCATTTTTGTCTGTAATATAATCAGACACTTTATAATAAGCATTCTTAATAAGAGTTTTTTTAATAGTCGATTTAAATTTAGTCAGGCTCAACTCTTGAATATTGCTTGGGACTTTATTGTAAAAGCGAACACAGAGGCCTCTAAACGAATTATTAATTTTGTGGAGCCTAGTAGCAGGTACAGTTAACTTATTTTTACTTCTAGTATTAAGTGTATGTATTTCACTATTTTTAGTAAATAAACTAATATTTTTTTTGACATATACTAAGTTTTCATATATGTATTGTGATGCAACCGTCATTATGCCTATTTCTTTAAACTTATTTCTTAAAGAGTCCTTAACTTTAAGATTATAAATTGATCGAATAGCCCGCTTCTGCAACACAAATATTGTTTGAATATCGGCGGCATTTCCCCACAGTAAAATACCGTAAGACATTACACTATGAAAATAACTAAAATAGACTAATCTGGCAGTTTCTATATCCGTTAACTGACGTATTTTCATTACAGCATATGCTGCAGAGCTAAGTCTCTTCGACAATTTATCAATATGTGGGCCCCATTGCAACTTTGAATCTAGTGTGATTCCTAAGAACACTGTGGTATCTACAAGGCTCACATTTCGATCCTTTATATTTACATTCGTTTTTACCTGTTTAACATTAGGTAAAACAAATTTCAAACACTTAGTTTTCCCTTCATTTAGCAGTAAATTATTAACGTTAAACCAGTGGACTACCTTAGAAATAGACTTGTTCACGTCGTCAATTTGCGACTGCCTACGTTTAATTTTAAACAAAAGTGAAGTGTCATCCGCAAACAATACTATTTCATGGTTATCCTTTACAAAATAAGGCAAATCATTGATATAAATTAAAAATAAGAAAGGACCAAGGATTGAGCCCTGCGGAACTCCCATCTTAACCGACGAACCAGGAGATTTTTCTCCATTGATGTCAACCCTCTGAACCCTATCACTCAAATATGATACAATAAGATCCAGAGTGGTGTCTCTAAATCCATAGTGCTGTAGTTTCCTGATCAATGTTTCATTCTTCGCAAAGAAACCGCATCAACAGAGCTCTAATCAAACTCAAAGGTAAATTAACATTGTCATCACTTAGCTATATCTGGTAACATAAACATAACAGCTCGAGATCAATAGAAGCTACGTGACATTGGCGGAATCATGGTAAAAGCAAACAAACTATTTAAAAAAGAAGAAAAAGAGATCATGAGTGAAAAGAAACATTTGGTAACTCTATCGAGCACAATGTGGCTATACTGCTAAGAAAGTCCCTTGTTATAAACACGCAGATATTTCAATTGGTAGCCATCATCTCTATCCGCGCTTAGGTAGTTTGAAATAGCATGCAGCATCCTCTCTTTCGTATAATTGAACTCGGGTCCCTCTTTCAGGGTAGCAGCTACTTCATGAAACGATTGGGCTATGATGTCCGTAGGATGATCCTCTAAGTAGAACCTAAAAATAAGAATTATGTAAACGAAATGGTTACAATTTGAAAATCTTTATAGATCGTTTGAATGCTAAGACTTCAAGTCACTGTGCGTTAAAGTTATTAATACACTTGCTTTGAGAATGTGAATTCTATCCTGGTGACCTTATTCAGTACTTAATAGTAGGTTACCTCAATAAATACATCATATTTTACTTCTCTTCCAAAGTCATTACAGAATGGCTCTAGAATTAAATTATCTGTGACATTAGAAACATATATAATCTATTCACTATTAACCAAGAATCATACAAAATTTCTCATTATTTGGATTTTAAAGTATAACCTAGTACACTTACTTCAAACATTCCTTCATGTATTCGAAATGATCCAGAATACATGAACATAATACCCTAGTTTTAAATGATACACTGTCTATCACGCTATCTTCCACCACAGGAGAAGGTTTAATAGCACCGTCATCATAATGGGGTTTGCTCATAGAAACTGACGGTTGCTCCTCGAAACTTCTCAGATATAGTTTTCTGATTAAAGTAGAGGTCGTCACTGGCATCTTGAGCTGATCCTTGTTAATATTTGAGTAAATTTCATTATTATCTACGTGCGCAACTTCTCGCTTAACTTCCCTCAATATAGCTTCAAAATCATCAGTTCCCGCTAGCTGATTAATCTTGTAACAAAGAGTTTGGATGAACCAGGATCCGTAACTACCAGACCTGAAATATTTCATGATAAACATTTAAAACTTAACAAATATAGACATATTTTATCAGTTAGTAAAACGTCCATCACTGATAATTTGCTTTGGAAAGTTATCGTAGAAGTATCTTCTTAACAATTGACATCAAATAGACATTTATGTACCCATATGGATGCTTTCCGGGATTTGAGTTATGTAATATTAGCATATCGGATTCTGCTGGCAAAGTATATGGCTCAATAACTTCGTCAATATCTTTTCGAATGTCTCCTCTCGCGGTCGCTGACATAAAGGTGTAAGGTATTTCTTCAACCTCACCTACACAAGCCTGAAATATCAAAAACTGTAGTGAAACAATAGGCCTGATTCTCAACATCTAAATTTAACACAAATTTCTTTTTCTCATTCTCTACAGAGCATGATAAGAAAATGCTATTGTCAAATTATGTTTGTGTAGGTTTAGAGAATCATCCAAAATCAAGCAACTATCTATACGAATACCCTACGATTTACATATTTTTCCCAAAAGTAATCACATAATGTGCATGTCTTTTGCAGAATCTCACTAACAATTTGACAGATAACTCTCAGTACGCGTGCGCTGGCAGAGAAAGCACAATTGCCAATCTGGGAAAAAACTTGTTAGGTACCTGAATTATAAATATTTTGGGCTTAGTAACTAGCGTGGGCCTTTTGTCAACCTTAAAATATTGAATAAGTTCCAGTTCACTGTATATCTCGTCTTTGGCCCAAATGAGGCCATGCTTAGAGCCATATGTCAATATGGCCACAACAACACATCCATAGTCTGTGAAATCTTGGTCGCTGTCTGAAAACAACCAGCACAAAAATATTAGATTTGTGGAAAAGCAATTATAAGACTAAAGTTAATATATATTATTTTAGAACAGTAATTCTTTTAAATACTTTTTGCAGCCACAGACCCTTTTCTTAATAAAAAAAGTATACTAAGCTAAATTTTTTAAAAAGATATCTAAAATATTCAGTATCCTGACCATCTACCGATTATCAATGAACTAGAAGAAAAATAAAGGTACTTATTGTCACGTGTTTTAATGCCTCGCAGAAACAATTTGATATTCCATAGACTATCCTGAAATATCCAGCAGCATTATTGTTTCAAAACAATACATACGTAGAGAAGAAACTATAATATTTAAATATTATATATAAGGTATATTCAATAACTATATTTTCTTCTCCATGAACACTTTCAAAGTTGAACATGACGACAAAATAGTTATCAGTCCATCCTTTAATAAAATTATTAAGAAACAAAAACTTACATTCTCGTAATTTGTTCATTAACTCCTCCTTTGTAAGATCGTCTTCTACAAAAGGTTCGAAACCGAATTTCGAAAGTGTCATCTTAAGCTCCAATTCGTCTTTTTCGATGCTCGCGTTAGGTTTAAAACCACTTATTGTCTGTTGTTTAAAAATAAATAAAGCGTTTCTCTGAAAATTTTCCAATTCATATGTATTCGAGCCTTTTGGTAATGGCCTCGAATTGAACATATTATTCTCTTCTGGCAATTGAAATGGTATGTTTTCATCAATTAATTTGCTTTTTTCTTTAGGTAAATTTACTGCAGATTCTGATGCTTCTATCGTTTCCGGTGGAGCGCTTAATTGACTATCCCAACTAATCCTTTCATTGTCATTATCATTGATATCGCTGTTTATCGAACGGTAGTTTACATCTTCATCTTGGATGGTTTCAGATTCGACGCAGTTTGTGAATACAGCTTCGGAATCTTCGTTAGACTGATTAAAATCCGGTTTGTTTGTGTCATTGTGATATTTTTTGTTGATATTCGAACGATTAGTTTTTCCCTTTTTACTCTTTCGTCTTCTCGGGACGTATTCAAATATAATACCCTCATCAAAATCTGTGGGTGTCGTCACAGGAGTCGTCACTTTATCAAATTCATCCATGATTTTTTACAATGTATCAGTTTTTATGGTAACTTTACACATACATGTTGCTAACTAGGATTATTCGATCAACACTAACTTACTTTATCGATTTTTCACACTGTTATAAGGCAATCTACTGATAAACGTGAGTACATGCATATCTTATGATTATCTTCAGAAATGATGGACATGTCCTATTTTGCACAATCACTTGAAATACATTTCTTGTTTTTTTTATTTGCTTTAGTTGATGACTAATTTATAAGATACTAGCTGACCCAGCGAACTTCGTACCGCCCTAAAAAAATAGGGGTTGTCCAGCGGACAAAATTGTGAATCCAAACCATTCTCAGATCCCCTTGAACACACACAAAAAATTTCATCAAAATCGGTCCAGTCGTTTAAGAGAAGTTCAGTGACATACACACTCACAGAAGAATTATATATATAAAGATATGTGCCACTAATATTTAGTTGTACTATCCTACTAATATTAAAAATGGGAAAGTTTTTATGTTTGTTACTCAATCACGCAAAAACTAATGGACGGATTTGGATATAATTTGGTACGCATGTAGTTTACTATCTGGATTGAGACATTGGATACTGAGGGATTCTGAAAAAAAAATAAGTTAACGCGGACGAAAGCGCGGGAGGCCGCTAGTATATTTATAAAAAAAACAACTTCGTTACTAAAATAATCCATAAAAAGTGTGAGTGGTTTTCAAGTTATGATGAATTTCCCTATAGAAATAGATGGAACCGTGGTAAGGTGATGGAAGGGGTGATAGATAGACTGTTTAACACTTATTATAACAACAAATACATAATTATATAACATTAACAAACAATAATCTTAACAATAGCATTATAATTGGCGGTCTTATCGCTAAGAGCGATTTCTTCCAGACAACCGTGAGTACAAAAAGTTATACAGAGACTGTAGGTTGGGGTGTTATATGGCTTGGAGTAATTAGTCACATGTGTACATACAACTTTACATGAAACCTAAGTATTTTAATTTAAAATTACATTCAATAACATATATACATACATACACACACACACATACAAAAACATAACATTTACACAGGAAAATCAAATTCACTGCGGAAGATAAAAGTGTTTGAGCTGGTCTTTGAATATATTCAAAGACTGAGCACGTCTGATATTAGTAGGCAACGAGTTCCAAAGCCGAACAGCTTGTATAGCAAAGGAATGGTCATAATAGCTAGTGCGGTGATCAGGCATCGTGAGGGTCAGATTTGAGGTGATTTACTTATAAAACGTCTTTATGAGTAACTAACTGCGCAGCGATCGCACGGAGGCCGCTCCTCGATCACACGGCAGCCGCGCGGCCACCTCGCTCGAATTACTCGAATGTTTTAACATCAAATGTTTTGTGTGATGCGAATCAAATCGATTGTATCGATATCAAATGTTTTAACATCCATTCGGAAATAATCTGCGATATGAAATTCACCAAACTCTTCTCGCCGTGCTAAAATAGGATGAAACCAAAATCTTCTACATTTCTTCTTTTTTACTTTGTCGGTACAAGTAATAAGCAATCATAATTTTCTTCTTCTTAGTCAAATAGATTATAACGAATACGTGTGAATTTTAAGAAAGACCAAGATCAACCACCAGGCTGTGACCGCGCGGCCGCCGTACTGTCACCGCGCGCCCGCCACACTGAGACATTCTGTGTCATATAAACGCGCCCTTACCTACTAGCGAATAATAGGTTATTTCTTATTTTGTTAAGTAACCCTTTTAGTAAGCAGTAATATCGTTTAAATAAACTTTGAAAACAGTATAATTATGAGTTTTTAATTAAACTTTAATAATACTTATCACGATAATTTATTTTTCATCATTTAATAAGAAGGAACTTTATCAGAGTTTCATTGTAAGTACTTGGTATAGGATTAGATACTGCGAGCAGGCCGATTTTTTCTTTTCGTCCTAGGTTTGATCTACGTTTATAAACACCAAAATTCATCAAAATTTCTTCTGTCACCATTCCCACAGTCTACTCCTGCCCCCCTAGCATGAGCGCTATGACATATCGCTCGAGATAAAAGTATTTGTTTTGATAAAAAATAATTTGTTACATATCCTTTTTGAAAATAAATACCAAATAATATTTTATTTTAGATTCCCAATTTTTGAGATAATGGCTTACACATTAAAAATAGATATATGCTGCCGTGGACTATTTTGTAGAACTATTTAAGAGATACATTTCCACTATACATTGTATTCATGTAACTTTGACTGTTTTTTCAATGCAGACCAAAATGGATCGCAGGTGGGAGGTTTTTTCCCGTCTTACGTGACACTTATTGTATATTTTAGCCAATTAACTCAATAGCTACATATACATTATAATCTATGTTTTTTATCATGTATGAGCTATATTACTTTCATTAAAATCTATGCAGTATTTTTGGGTGAAAGAGTAAAAAAGATCTATACAAACTTAAGATTGAAATTAAAATATAATGAAATATGGTTCAAGGAACCTTAATATGATTTTCGATTATCTCCATATCCACCACCACTCGACATATTTCGTCAACTTATTTTTTTTTCTCACAATATTTTTACACATTATACCTTGTCTGCGCGTCGCACTTCGAGCTCTTGCTTTGCGCAGTCGGGTAATAAGAGTGTAGCCATAATATATATGCTCATAATTTCTTATCAGAATTATATTATTTGTCGCTTTTCAGTTATTTTTATAACCAAGTAATATAAGCTCGTTTTGAAAAAAGATTAAATTTTTATTTGTAACTTTTTCGTATTTATTTTTTAGGATTTTAGGTACTTACTTCTTTACCTTTCAAACAACTTACAACTAATTAATTAGTAGGCCTTGTAAGTTACAGTAAAATCTGGTTCAAATTTGGTATTTAATAACTGGTCAATTTATTTGTACCGTTTCTCGTTCTATCTATTTTCACTGAATGAAGAATTTTTGATGTGTAACATCTATCCTCTCGCTTTCCTGCAATTTGTGGGAGTGATTTCGGGAAATGGGACGGAAGTGTGTAACAGGTAGTCGCGAAAGCGCGCGCTATTTGATTTGATTTTAGAACATAATGTTCAAATGGCTTATTCCTTTTGTAGTAGGTTTTATTTTTTTTTTACTAATATAAGGTGAGGTTTCAAATGTTACACATCATACGCGACTACTGTAAGGCTCGCTCGTTGTCGTTGTCTTTTTTATTTATAGCTTATATATCTTTATCGAGCCATAGCGCGTCATTCTAAAAATTCGTTTTCTTTATGTTTAGCTACTGCTTAACATGTTATTTCCAAGCGTTGGCGCTTTTTAACATTGCTATCATTAGCTATTTTCATCATTATAGATAGAAAGTACGTAGGAGGGTACTTTATGATTTCTTATAATTAATCAAATTTAATAAGTAGGTTTTTTTTGTCAACTAAAAGAAAGTCAAGCAATTCTTATAGTAAAAGTCTTATAACTTTTTTTATTAATTTCCAAGCGTTGTCGCCTTTGAACATCGCTTTCTTTAGCTATTTTTATCCTTATATTGAGAAAGTAAACACCTAGAAGGAGACATTATGATTTCTTATGATTTATCAAACTTGATAAGTAGGTTTTTTGTTAGCTCAAAGAAAGGCAAGCAGGTCTTAAGTAAAAGTCTTTTATTGTTTTTAGGGTTCAAAAAACGGAACCCTTATAGGATCACTTTGTTGTCTGTCCGTCCGTCCGTCTGTCAAGACCGTTTTTCTCAGGAACGCGTGGAGGTATCAAACTGAAATTCATATCTAATAGATGCTCAGGTCTACTGTCCCTTGGAGCTGTGAAAAAATCAAACTTCTAAGCCAAAGCAATCAAAAGATACAGCCGTTTATGCCGCAAATTTACGCAAATTTTCGAAACTCGCACGGAAATCAAAACGTACGGGGTACTTCCCGTGAACTTAGAATCTTGAAATTTGGTACGAAGCAAAACGTGTAAATTTTTAGTTACATCATATAATAAAAAATATTTTTAATAATTATTAAAATATACCTACAGGTTTGTACGGAACCCTCGGTGCGCGAGTCCGATTCGCACTTAGCCGGTTATTTATTCGTCAGCTTACACCAACCAGGTAAGTATTGCTGTATATTTTTTATAATACCTCACGACCTAATTTGGTTTGTTTTATCCACTTACAGTGTCAGGAAATAGCAAATGTCCGGTCGGAATTAATCGCTTTCGTGAGTCTTCGTCATTCTTTGTCTATAAGATGGTAAGGTAGATAGGTTAGTATATCCTTAGCTTAGTAATTTCTCCAAACAGATAAGCTTAATCTGATAAAACATAAACCGTAGGTACGTCCTTGATTTGATAACTTTTTGCAATGTGCAGTACTAAAATATATTTTAGTAATTTACTTAACGTTACGATTATTGGAAATAGCACAATTTCTCAGATATTTTAGGTACTTTACTGTTATTATCACTTTGATTAGATAAAACATTCAGGAGTCAATACGAAGTAAGTATTATAGTTCTATCGGTGAATACGTCAACACGTTCGATATTTTTGTGCAACAAAGAATGAATGTGGCCGACGAGAATACACCATCTACGACGGGAGAAATGGCGGATAACTCTGAATCTGGATATGTAAATAGAAAAAAATATCGCAAGAAGAAAGGAAGAGCGGTGAGCGTAAATGTAGGCGCAGAACAACTTAACGAATCCGATGTTTTTGAAGCAGGACCTTCAACGATAGATTTCCATAAAAGATTAATAGATGAAAGTGCGAGTAAAATTTTTACAGACATCAATGTGGTACAAGGCGAAGAAGTTAACAATGAAAATGGTATTGTAGCCAAAGAACTCGACAATATTGCAAATGAACTTTCAACAGTGAGTTTGGATAGTCAATTGAAATCCCTTCCTGAAATAAATGAACCACCTATGTACTGTGCCCAAGAGCAGTCAGAAACGAAAAATGAATATGAACTAGTCCGACAGGAAGCAGGTACTGTTACATCCCAAAAGTATAACATTAAGGCGTTGAAGAAAGGCTCTACAACGTATGAATTGGAAAATTTTGAGAAGAATGCAATGCTTATTTTCAACCATGAAAATATACTGGGCTATACTAGAAAAAGATTAGGTACAGATCAAGATGTGAAAGCACTCAAAGAGACATTTTCCAAGTTTAATTTTGAAGTGACTTTGGAAAACGATCTCAATAAGGATGAGATCATGGCCGCTTTGGAAAAATGTAAGTTACGGCTTTTAAATGATATTACTTATTAACTCACTCCACATATATATAGGGAGAAACTGAATACCTACATTAGGCTTACTTTACCCGAATATTTGTTTGAGTACTGGGAAAGGATATAAGATAGTTTTTATCCCAGAAATCATACTTTAAAGGGGTGAAAAAGGGGGGAGGGTGGAAGTTTGTATGAGAAAACCATTTTTTTTCACGCATATGAAGTCAAATTAGCATATAAATTAACCTAAAGAACGATCGATGAACACTACTTTGTCTGGTACTATGTACTTGTCAGGTTTTTTTTATATATCTATAAATCCGACAAATGACTCCACCCCACCTGATGTTAAGTGAAGGTGAAATCCAGACGCGAAGATAGCTGATACAGCAGTTCTACCTGCCACACCAGCCAACCTCACCCTGCCGGCCTGGATGTTGCTTCTTCACGCCTCTTTTAAAGGATCCCAGGTTGTAAGAGGGAGGGAACACGTGAGCGGGCAGATCATTCCATTTCAGGATAGTGCGACAAAGAAATGAGTCACCAAATTTCTTTGTACGCGTTGGAATTGTGGCCACAGTTAGACGGTGACAACGTAGGCCAGCGCGCGTGGTCCTCTGAAGCAAAGGGGAAGGTGGGATAAGAGAGAATAACTCTTCAGAATACTCGCCGTGGTACAGACAATAGAACACGCTTAGTGACGCCACGTCACGGCGTAATTGAAGAGGCTCAAGGTGTTTAGTCACCTCCTCAGCGCCTATGATGCGGGTCGCGCGCCGCTGTAACCTATCCAAAGCATCGAGCAAGTACTTGGCGGAGCCATCCCAGAGGTGCGAGCAATATTCCACACAGGACCGCACTTGCGTTTTGTACAACAAGCACAGCTGATCGGGCGTGAAAAAACGCCGCAACTTGTTCAGGACTCCGAGTTTGCGTGAAGCTGTTTTGATCACGGTTTCAATTTGGATTCAGGTCTGAGCGAACTTCCATACTGAGCATGGAAATGTTGCTCTGTAGCGGTAGTGTTGTGCCCTAAGGAGAGGGAAAGGGAAGGAATGGCGATGTTTTTGCCGTGAAAGCGCAAGCCTGAGTTTTCTTGGCATTGAACTCAACCAAGTACCTGGTACCCCATTCGGAAATGTGGTCCAAAGCCTGATTAAGTTCAATGACAAGATTCTCCCGTTTCTCCTTGGTTACCGCCTGCCCAGCCGCTGCTTGTCCGAGATACCCCGCATGCACTGTACTATCGTCTGCATAGCAATGAATATCCCCAAGAGGAATTAAGTCATTGATATGCAGCAGAAAGAGAGTGGGGGATAGGACGGAGCCCTGGGGAACGCCGGCATTCACTGACATAAACCGCGAACTGCTACCATCCGTAAGGACACGAATTCTACGCTCATGCAGGAAGTCAGCTACCCAAGAACAGAACTGGGCTGGCAGACCGTATGCCGGAAGCTTGGAGAGAAGGCTTTTGTGCCAGACCCTGTCAAACGCCTTGGCAATGTCAAGGCTGATAGCCAACGACTCGCCACGCTTGTTGATAGCCTCACCCCAGATATAAGTTAAGTACGCTAGAAGATCACCCGTCGATCGTTTCGGTCTAAAACCATTTTGACGATCATTAATCAGGGATCCTCTAGGTAGCGGGTCAGATGGTTATTAAGGACCTTTTCTAGAACTTTACATAAAATTGAGGTTATTGCTATTGGCCGGTAGTTTGCCGGGTCTGAGCGATCCCCTTTTTGGCACCGGTTGTACGTTAGCATCTCTCCAAATCTCCGGCATACGCCCCAAAGAATACGAACATTGGTACAAGCGCGTGAGCACGGAAGACAACTCCGCTGCACATTTTTTCAGTACTACTGCTGGGATGCCATCAGGTCCACTAGCTTTCCGAACGTCGAGTGATTGCAATTCGGCACGAACCTCACGCTGCCTGATTTTAATATCAGGCATCCTTGTGCCACAGTGAGGTAATGATGGTGGTAGTGCATTGCAATCATCGATTTGGGAGTTAGCCGCAAAGAGTTTTGCCAGTAAATCGGCTTTCTCCTGCGGCTTATGAGCCAGTGTTCTGTCTCAGAGGTGGCAGCGAGGGCTGGCAGAAGTTCTTGTGCACGGCCTTGGCCAAACGCCAATCGCTACGGGAGCCCGTAGGATGCGTTATGAGTTCGTGACCAACACGTGCAACGCGCTGGGCATCCGCTCTGATGTAAGCCTTCTTACAGGCCTTCAAAGCAATATTGTAGGCTACTTTCAGTGAATCGACCCCGGGATCCTTAAGAGCGCGGCCTCTGATCCAAACACGATATGCCGCCTGCTTACGCGAAGCTGCTTCAGCACAGTCGTGATTGAACCAGAGGTTACGTGTGCCCTTACTGATGAGATTGGAATGTGGAATATAGTACTCTATACCCATTACAATCTCCTCAGTAATAGCAACGGCGCGGGCTGATAGGTCCTTGTCACTGAAGCAACGCTGCTTCCAAGGGACGGACGCAAAGTAGTTATGCATACCGTCTCAATCTGCCGACCCATAGTGCCAGATCCGGCGTTTTACCACTATTGGACGCGGAGGCTTGGCCTGTGGCGCTTTGGCAGATATCAGGCAGTGGTCCGAAGAGCCCAGGGGGGCTCCTACGACAACCTGATAGCCCTGTGGATGGGTCGTGAGCAGAAGGTCCAGTAATGAAGGCGCTTGACTTGAAATATCTGGAATCCTGGTAGGCTGATCGACCAGTGTGAGAGAGTGAAGATTAATGGGGTATAATAAATACCCCATTAATATATCAACGACTGTGTGTGTGTACGTCCGCCATAGTACATTACGTAGGTTTAAAAGCTTTTAATGCTTCAGTGGATAGCGGAGCTGTCTCTTCTTCAACTAGGCATTAAGTATCGAACCTTAGTTTTAAAACAAAAAGGGAAGATATATTACGCTCGTACTAGAATCTAATAAAATATGCTGCGACCCAACTAGATAAGCAACTCTCACACACACTGTAAATAAACATTTAATCAAACGAGCGAGACAGAACTGTACGCTTCAACGCAGCGCCAGCGAAACGGCGAGTCCGCATCGCTTGGCCTGACTGCGTTTTCTTTTCTCTCTCTACAAAAGGCTGAGCTGTATTGTTATCGTTTTCTTGATAACAAATGGCGAATAAGTAAATAAATTCATGACAAATAGTGATATTTTAGAAAACAAGAAGTAGGTTTTCATAGTTATATTGACTGTACATGTAGCGTCTTTGAATGTCCAATTGTGACTAAAGCGAATTGTGGTCATGCACCTCAATTTAGGCGGTACACTTTTGAGCCACGAGTGCTGTATCTTCCCTTCTTGTTTTAATCTTAGTATGGAACCCTATAAGCGATGAAAGGTGATATAGAGACGAGAGTATATGCAGGAACTATGTAGAATGTATGAGGAAATATTATTTATTTGGGTGACTGCTACTTCGTCTACGTGGTTCAATTTATTTCTCGGACAAACTTCTACTCCCCTTTTTACCTTCTTAAAGGATTAATAAATAGCTATATTTCCAGGGACTCAAACTATATGCCATATTTCAGCTAAATCAGTTCAGCTATTTAAGCGTGAAGAGTTTGAAGAGAGAGAAAATTTTCTGTCAATGAATTGTTCATTTACAGGATCTGGTTTGTTTTATTACTTTTGGTTGATTTTAATACCTGTTGTTAACGAAATCAATTGATTTTTTAGTAAGGTTTAATAAAGTATAATTATCTTTCCTTGGTCCAGTATTCCAACTAGGTTTTATTTAAGCTCAAAAAATAAACTTTCGTACTATTACCTCGTTCATTTACTAGTTATTTAGCACCAGTACATATTAATAATTAAAAATATTTTAAACTTTAATTGTTTTCATATAGTTACAAAAAATATGAATATTCAGAGTTTTCATCAAATTAATCATTTTAAAGCAATAAATTAAATAATATAATGCCATGACAACTAGAAATGTGTACCTAATCCCCTAATCAACAGAACTAAATTTCAATGACGAAAAATGCTAGTAAGCTGGATTTTAGCTAAAGCTAAACCTAGGTTTCTAATGGGTCTGGAATAAATTCATTTAAGGCATTTACAATTTAATGCCTCTCCCACACCTGCTAAACGAAGCTTTAACTACAGCGCTTAAATAACAGTCCAAATTTTCGGCGCTAAAAGCATGGCTCTACGCTCCTCCACTAGCACACACACATTTATGGACCCCAAAACCCCTTTGCCGTGTGTCGAAAAACCGACGGTCAAGCTATCGTCTAGCGTTTATCCTCTTATAACTCGGTAATTCGCCACCTGTCGCTAATGACTTCCCACAAATGTGTTTATCGCGATCTAAGACGAAGCTACGTGGCAATAGATGCAGGTATGGGAGAAGCATAAGAAAAAGCTTTCCTCTTTCATTCCGACCACATTTCACACAGCTGGTTACGATAAGGCTACGATATAAGTTGTCAAACTAAGCTTTAAGGGTTTTAAACATTGATATTTGCTGTATTGAAAAATACATTTTTTAACGGTTCCAGTTAGCAGCCAAGACTTCACGGATTATGGATGCGTGGCCGTGGTTGTGTTGACCCATGGCCTGAAGAACGGCCTGATCAGAGCGAAGGACGACGCTTACAGCGAGCTTGAAATCATCAACCATTTCAAAGTAGATAAGAGACCTACTTTGATTACTAAGCCGAAACTTGTCATTATTCAGGTAACTGATTTTTTTTTAATCATCAGCATCAGCCTTCCAATGTTTCCATTGACGAGGCACAGGCCACAGAATAGAAAAAAATAGTTTATTTGGACAAAAAGAGCTAGTTTTACTGTTCCGAGTGCCTTCCCCAAGGACACGTTTATATAAAGAGGACGAGCCATAACAACAACGGATTGGTGGGTGCTAACGGCAGCTAATCAAGCGAGGAACTATTATTTAAGGAATAAAGCTCAATAATTTATTATTTCACTTTTCGAATGTTCCTGCAGTTTTATATTATGTGACAACTATTTGTAAAGCCACTTAATGTTATGCTTATCCCACTAGTACAGTCAATCTGTCGAAAAAAATATCGTTTCAGTGAAAAAAAACCTAAAGGGTAAGTCTTGTTTTTTCTGTTGCCAAATGACGTCAGTAAGTTACCTTGGCGATGGGCATGTTCAACTCGTAGGCGTTTTTTGCAAAACTCAAAAAAACCGTCAAATTTTTTTTGAAACGCATTTTTCTTGTTTTGTATGCATTTTAGAAACTTTTTTTTTGACCATAATTGTAGAGGGCGTTAAGTGCTACAATTTATGTCATTGTTGCAATCTCGTACAACAAAAAATGCGCATTGTAGGTGGCGCTAAAGTCTCAAAAAAGTGTTTTCACTTTTTCACCCTGAAAATATCATTTTAATGGAAAACTTTAAATGGCAAAGTTGTTTCGTACATAATTACCAACAACTTTTGTAAAAACAATTTTTTTGTATTACTTACCGGTTTCAAGTTATAAATTGCGCAGGTATGAAAAATCCAATAGAGCGGTTTTCCAACAATGACATAAATAGTAGTACTCATTGCCCTCTACAATTATGGTCAAAAAAAAAAGTTTCTAAAATGCATACAAAACAAGAAAAATGCGTTTCAAGAATTTTTTGACGGTTTTTTTGAGTTTTTCAAAAAATGCCTACGAGTTGAACATGCCCATCGCCAAGATGGCTTACTGACGTCATTTGGCAACAAAAAAAACAAGACTTACCCTTTAGGTTTTTTTTTCACCACTCAACCTACAGATTGACTGTACTACACTGTCATTAGGCGCAATCAAGCGCCTAACGATCGCTATGACATAGCGTAGTAGGCACAATATAAATATAATGTATTGTGCGAACAATAATTCCGCTTCACTTTGATTAATCTATGAGCATACTTGTCGTACTTTTCGCACTACAGTTGCCATCTTATCCTCTGTCCTTTTTTAACCGTCATGTTTATAGTTCGACAATTTTTAATAATGGGATATTTTTAAAATGCACAGCAAATAACTTATCACCCATCAGGTTATTTTTTTATTCTTTTTTAATATTTCCGACAAACACCAATTAGCCTAGCCCCGAAGTAAGCACTGTAAGGCTTGTGTTATGGGATACTAGAGTAACGGATAGAATACATAATACTCTACATATATAAGTATATTTATATAGAAATACATATTAAACATCCATGACTGTTGTACAAATGCACGTATTCATCACACAAACATCTGCCCCCATCGGGATTCGACCCCGGGAGACCTCTCGAGTCGGCGATACCATGAAACCCGGCGCGGCGTATAAACCACTAGGCCACGAAGGTCGTCAGTTACATCAATTAAATACTTTTTACATCAAAATTATTATTTTACTGCGAATAAAAAACATTTGTTGATATAATTTTTATTATTTTTAAAGCATGTAACTGCTTGATGTTTTAAATCTAAAGAAAATTTCTTTAGATTTAAAACATTTGTTGAAACCTGTGCTAAAAATAATTGAAAAATATACATCTAATCCGTAGTACATTGTTTCCTCTTGTGCTCGTCAAAAATCTTGTTTAATTGTACAGAAATATGATTTTCACATTAAATATACTAATTGCACAGCAAATATACCGATTGCACAGAAAATTAACCAGGGCTTCGATGCATAATACTCACACTCATAACAAAACAACTACTTTTGCAACAGGTTTCCCATTATGCATTTCAAAACTTGCTCAACATTAGGATACTTTTGATGGTTATAAAAAAAAGCTTTTGCATATTGGAGAGTTGTCTTGCCCACGCAAAGTAGTGCCTGGATGAATGGTACCTGCCCCTTCTTTTACAAAAACTATAAATGCAAACATATCGTGGGACTTGCGATCCGGCTCAAGTATGTGACGGCACCAAAAATATACCAATCAGACAAAAAAGGAAGCGTGGACGTCTAAGTCCACGCTACGTCTCGTAAGCTAGAGCAAGACCTGCTTTAAGTACCGAAAAGTAGACGTTACTTTTTGTATCAGATGTTATAGTTGATTGTTGATCTCATCGTGTCGTAATAAAAAAAAATAGATTCTTTTGTCGATTAAAATGATGTTTCACTTAGGCTAGTATTTAACTACAAATCAAAAAATTCTAGCAAAAATAATTATTGCTCAGCAAAATAGTCACCTCAAAATATTGTTATATTACCTAGTAACAATTTAAATTCGTGATGCATCGCTTTTTATTTAAAACTAAAGCTTTTTTAAGAATGCATATTAATAATAACCACCTCACAACAAATCTATTACATCACTTTTTTTTTGAACAAAGCTGCCATAATTTATCTCATACAGCAATGAGATAAATACTAGCCTTTAATATTGATCAATAAAACTATGCCAAAATATAAATATGATGCTCTTTTATATACTTTACCTCATTTTAGAAGCATAGCTTTGACACTTTTTATAATACATAAAATTTTAATAATATTACTGACACGACACGAGCACGTTTTGTTTAGCTCGCTGCTATTAGCCGACTAAATCAAATTGCGACAATTGTCAGAATTTGTCTGCAACAATTTGTGCGCGCTAGTGACATATTTACCTGTATTGTTATGATATCATTGTACCTTTGTACAAACATACTAGACATGAGATCGTCTGTATGTAAAAGTGAATCTGATTGTGTGTGTGTTACTACCTCATATAGAGAGTTTATTTATCCCAGAAACCAACCTTCAAGGATGGGTATAAAGGGGATGGGAAAACTATTTTTTTTACGCGCAGACGAAGTCGCCCGCACCAATGGGTGTCCGCGTAAGGGTATCAAATGAAAGATTAAAGATACATTTAATTAATCCTGGGTATCAAATATATATTAAATGAATTTGTTTATGCAAATTACAGGCTTGCAGAGGTAGTGAATCTATAAAAGGAGTTCCAGTTGGTACAGAAGTGCAAGCAAAGATTCGTAAGGATTTCGATGAAAAGGTTGAGCCTTACACTCTGCCAGTGGAAGCTGATATGCTCATAGTGCATAGTTCGTTCATAGGAAAGCCTGCACACAGGTAAACAAACAATTATCCGAATAATCGTTGTAGTGTGTCTACAGTATATGAGAAGAGTGCCAGATAATTGTAAGGGAAAGTTAGTGTACGAAACAAACCCAATGATATTTGTTCTTACACTGTTTATTTCCATGTAAATTCAATATTATGAAAAAATAGCTTCAACATATTGCGAAATACCGCGCGTAAATGACTAATACATAATTGTTTCTATGTGACCTAAATTAGTACCATAGATAACTGATTGAACATATTATTTATTACCTAAACTGTACGATCACTCGTACAATCGTAGTATATCAACTAGAAAAGGGATTGTCTCCGTATCAACTCGAGCCGTTCTGTTTTCTTAGTATGAAACTCCCTGCTGCAACGCACACTAATCGGAATCGTAACCTAATCGCCTTACCTAGGGATAAGCTACCAAACATGCGTGGTCACCTCTCCGTACCCTAGCTAAAGTGTCTTCATAGCCTAGCTTACGCCTCTAGGTAGCCTAGATTACGTCTCTCCGTAGCGTAGCTTACGTCTCTCCGTAGCGTAGCTAACCTCTCTCCGTAGCCTAGCTTACATCTCTCCGTAGCATAGCTCCTTTGTTCAGGGAGGGCCTTGGCCTGCGTTACCGAATGTGCTGTCCATAAACCACTCTGTTTTACTTTCTGTATGAATGATCGAGCTGGTGCCGCCTAGCCGTCAACCAGCGTTCAGCGAGCCGGAAGCGCGGCGTTGCGTAGCCGTAGCCGATCCGAATGTACTGAAGTTACTTATCCGCTTACGTTAGTTGGTTGCCTTTTTGACGGCAAGCCGAAAGGCGAATCGGTATCAATCCCTAAGTTGATATGTGTGCCATGACGCTAATTTGTAGATGTATGATCTACACTCATTAATCAAATGCAAGTAATTTCAATGAAGTTTTGATATTGGACTTCGAAATAAGGGTGGCAGCTTGAAATGGAGTGCTTGTCTGAGTAACTGACCGTCAACTTACAGAATATAAAACTTAAAAAAACAAATCTACTGTCTCTAGTCCCTGGGCCACCGGAATCCACAGGAAGCCCAAATAGATGGAGTGCAAATTCGTGGGTGATTGTCTATCATACTAACTTGCTCCAGGCCAGCAGAGGGGGATGCGTTATTAGCAATCCAACTTTAGAGGAGCTCGATGGCGCAGGTGGTTAGCGCATTCGGCCTGCGATCGTGAAGGTTAAGCAACTTTCACAATGATCAGTCATTGGATGAGGAATCAAAAACTTATTATCTCGAGCTTCGGAAGGCACGTTGCAAATCTTAATTGGCCCGGGGTTACAGATTTTAAAATAGGGGTCCCCACACCTTTGTTGCCACACCTCTCAATCCGGCCCAGAGCTCACTGACTCGTTGCAACCCCTCAGCTTGCACAGAGATATTGCGTCTTTATGCGTGTTGTACTGTCTATACAATGAAGAGGGAATTATTTAATCTGGTGCCAGCGGCAAGTTCCTTCACCCCCACCATCTGGACGCTTGGCGTCCTAGCTTCACGCGTTACTCGGCTTTTCTTGCGTACCAGCGAGATCTGGAACGAACTTCCCTCAGTGGTTTTTCCTATTAGCTATGATATGACGCTATTCAAAAGGCGGTTAAACCTTTTCACTCAGAGCCGGCAACGAATGAGTGGTACCCTTGGTGCTGCAAGTGTCCATGGGCGGCAGTGACCACTCATTAGCTTGTTTGTCTCCATAAACTTAAAAAAGACTAGTGATACAGCGAATAATAGCGTTGTAATCACAGGCGCCAAGGAAGGAATCATGTTCACTTCAAGCAAGCACTCATTCCTGGAGGAATCTGGGACATTGTGTCCTCACAGAAGGAAACCACTACATGTCATGCAACTTCTTCAACTGCAAAATTATTAAATCTAAAGATTTTTTCTAGTTAAAATCAAATTGTATCAGGTACTAGGCTTGAATAGAACTTACATCATTGACTAACAAGGAAAATGCATTGCCCATTAAGCTACCGGAATATACTGTTTTCATTCAATTTGAGAGCAAGTAGACATTCCACTCGCTAGCTCTGCATGGTCACAAGATATAACATAAACTAAACTTCTGGTTCTGTTTCATTTGCCTATATTTCATCATTATTGTTTTAATTGCGGAGTGGTCGATCGACGCTTCGTTTTACTTGATCAAAAGATCTAACCAAAATCGAACAATATTGAAAAATTCTGTCTCCGAATTAGTTTTTTTATCTGTTCATTTCAGGTTTCATACCTATAACGCTGAACCTAATTCCTCTATGCCCTGTGGAGACAGAGATTACCTCGGAGAAGACCACAAACTAATTTATTTTGCGAAAAGAGGGTGAATAAGGGGATGAGTTTTTGTACGGGAAAATGAGTAGATTTTCCCGTATGAATGAAGTAGGTAGGAAATTCAAATAAACATTGCACTGTAAAAAAAACTTCTATCTTTTTTTCTTTCAGACATGAATCGCAAGGATCTTGGTTCATCCAGTCACTTTGCAAACAAGTCAATAAATTGGCTCCGACACTTGACTTCGAATCTATTTTAATTGAAATGAAACGTGACGTCGCCGTTGACTACCACCACAAAGAGTACAACAAAAGGGATTTGGAATTCCAAACAAATAAACAAATGCCTGTGACCACATCGACTCTCATCAGGAAGCTGTATCTGAAAAGATTTGCCGACGCGCCTTCTGCATTGGCTACAACTCCAGTGCCTCAGTCTCAATCTCAAGTGGAGATGGTTTCCGATAAAAGTGTGCTTGACAATAATAATTCGCAGCCGAGCACGCCCCTGGTTTTAAACCGACCCTGCTTTTGTTTCCTAGAGCATTACGAATATATAAAGCAATGTCTTAGGTGAGTGTTATCATTGTACAAAACAACATGGTTTAACATGTTGGAAAATCTTCATTGTTCCAAAATATCATAGTTATTAGCGGGTTTGATTATAGTTATGTTTTTTGTGGGTCTCCGATATTCTGGCACTGTTGCAGGCGCCGTGATCATGAAGAAAGTAATATACTGTTTAGTTACTCCGTGATCATGGCGTTTGCATTTTCCAACATGTTAAACAATGTTGTTTTGTACATTTAGCCAAAACCATGTTGTTTTGTTATATTACGCCTAATTTTTGACAGTATAAAAAATACAGTTCCAATTTTGGATTTGTTTTTATCTTTTTATGTGAAAAGGGTGGCAAATAAGCCCGCTTGATGGTAAGCGGCCACCATAGCCTATAGACGCTTGTGATACAAAAAAATAGCACTCACTCCGTTGCCTACCCTTTTTTTCGATGACGAGACGAAAAAATGCATTATATCCACGACAATGACTAACGCCGCGTTGATTTGCTGTTAACAAACCTTCGCGACGCAGGTACTTGATTGGTGCTGTGGTGCATTCGGCCAGCTGTTGCCTACCCTCACCCAATTCCCTACCCTGCGGAGCCCTGGAACCGTACTCACTGACAGGAACACAACACCACCAAAAGGTGGTGTTCTTTTTCTCTTGTCTCCTGGAATGTGGATTTAACATGAATATTGGGAGCGATTTCACTAATATGACAATAAAGCAAGCAGTTTATAATATTACTAAAAATTAGAGATGGGCTAACTAAAGTCTTTGCCGACTAACTGTCTAGCCGACTGATCAGTTTTCAAATTACCGACAATGCACAAACGAAGAACTTTTGTCCGAGGAAGAAAGAAGTCCCTGAATCGTGATTAAAATATCCGCCGAGGACTTGACACGGACTCAACGCACACGTGCGAACTTTGTCCCCCGAAACTTTAAAACAGCGCACGCTATTAAAGACCATATTTTCAGATTCGTTGTGTCGTGTGAAGTTTAGGAAAAAGAGAAGAGGTTTTAAAAGAGAATACTGTCTTCATTTATCCACTTTTTATAGAGCCACTATAAACTAATAAATAACGAAAGAACGTTTTCAAAAACTTGTTTAATCGGCTATTCGAAAATTCTGTGAAACACATTAATGCGACGCAAGATACGCTTTACTTATGTGCTGCACCAAAGACCAAAGTCCGTTATGTTGTTATGTGTCTCTTTTCTTTTTTACAGTATATACGTGAAAGAACAACCTAATGACAGCACCGCCGACGCGTTATACGGCATAGCTTGTTCATATCCGGATGGCGAACAATTCAACAATCCGAAGGAGAAATTGCTTATAGCGGTCTCAACCCATTTTGACAATACTAAAATCACTACAGACTTGAAATACTTACATCGCTATAAAGCTAAAAGGAAATAAGCGATCCTCACTAATTATTATTAGTACCTACCAGTGCATCACGAATTTCTTGAAGTGTTAATTTTTGAACTGCCGAAATAAACTTTATTTAGTCAACCATAACATCTAAGTTCCTGAACAAATTAAAAAAAGGTATATAGGGTATCATTAGAATCCTTATCATTACGTGTGAAACTGGCTATAAATCTTTAAAAAAAAGAAGATGGTGGATTAAGACATTTGCTGTTTATGACCCATAATCGGCCCAACGCGGTGCTAAAAGAATGTGCGTACAGGAAAAACGGGTCTCTCTCGTTAGTGTGGAGCATGTATTTTCGGTATTTTTACTAGAATCACAGACAAATATAGTTTTTATTTTGTGACTGATAGTCCTACTAATATTATTTATAGTAAATGTTTGTATGTTTGTTCTTAATCACGCAGTAACTTCTGAACTGATGATTTGGATGAAATTTGGTACGCATATAGTTAAAGAACTGAATTGAGACATAGGATACTTTTTATCCCGGAAAAATTACACCAGTCACCACGATTTTTGTGTCTGAGTTCTTTGTACCAGATTTTGATTTCTTATACCTAATTCATGTAAGAAACTATATTTTTATTTAAAAAAGTTTGCAGAATGAAATTTTAAATTTCATGGAAAATTGCAAACTTTTTTGTTTAAGTTGTATATAACAAGAAAATAATCATTTATATATTTATTTAAAACTCTTTTATTTACTTTAGACAAATAAATCAAGTCTATGAATACAAAAAATATATTGATTTAGTTTTAAAAATTGATATTTTAGCATATTTTATAATTTTTAGCCTGAATATTTTCTGAAGTAAACAAAATACCATGGAAATTTGGTATATCCTCATATGACGCCCATATTTTATCTTGACTTTGAATAAAAAGTTAAAGTAAGCTTCATATGTTTAATTATGCCTTTTACTAATGGATAAACAACATTTTTTGACCCTAAATTTAATAAAATCTCCGGAAATAAATCAAACAGAGTCCACGTAGATTTTACTCATTTTGGAAGACATCTTACCGCCCAAGACTCACAAAATACGTCGTTTCCCTTCAATAAAGATTTTTTTTCATGCAACTGAGACATATTATGATAGGGTCCATAATGAATAAAAGTATATCATACTAAATATTATAATTCTTTTTCTGACACTCTGAATGTGCTGCTGGTAGTGAAGTAAACAAAAATAACTTGGAAATTTTCGGGAGGCGTCCATATTTTATCCTGAAGTCAAATAAGAAGTTAAAATTAAGCTTCATATGTTTAATTAAGTCTTTACCTACAGGTTAAACCATTGTTATGACTCTAAATTTTAAAAAAATCTCCGCAAATAAAGCAAACAGGGTCCACGTAGTTTTCACTCATTTTGGAAGGCATTTACCGCTCTAGGCATTTACAAAATACGTCGTTTCTCTAAAAGGTGTGTACATGCACTGAGTGATTGCTTTACTGCTTCCTCCATACCCAATATCCTTCTGCACTCCTTTCTTTTGCTTATTAAAAGCGGTAGATCCTCAGCCTTTTACAAAAGTCATACATATTTATTTATAATTGTATAAAGTACAAGAGCAAACTTTTTAAAATAAAAATGAGGTTTCTGGTTATTTTTCGATATAAACAATTAGACAATAGTCATTAAATAACAGGCTCAAAATTTTTTTTTCATTTTGTTGACTTGTGTTATAGGTTCCTGTGGGATTCCCAAAAAACCAAAGTTAACGCGGACGAAGTCTCGGGCGGCTGCTAGTGTAGTAAAATAAAAAACATTTTCCAACACACACCAAGCCTAGCCCCAAAGTAAGCACTATAGGCTTGTGTTATAGGGTACTAGGGTAACGGATAGAATACATATAGTGATACATATATAAGTATATTTATATAGAAATAGAAATGCATATACAACATCTATGACTATTGTACAAATAAATGCTCGTATTTATCACACAAACATCTGCCCCCACCGGGATTCGAACCCGACTTCTCGAGTAGGCGACACCTTGAAACCCGGCGAACAAACTACTCAGCTACGGAGGTCGTCAAAAAAGCAACCAATAAACGCCTCGGGCTTTTTTCGACCTTCACCACACAGAACTTAAACAATTTTTCCTCAGTGTGGCGATCGGGCCTGTTCAAGCCAAAATGACTCTTAATTCCGAGACCTTAGGTGCAAAATAATAGAAATGAAACCAAGGTAGAATATGTTTGATCATAGATTTCTTTAATAATTTAGTGTCGTTTTGCCTATATGTAGCTCAAACCTTTACTAGCGCGATGACTGCTCTCGAATTGTTGCCGCATTATGTAGATGAGTTCGCGTCGAGCCTCCAGAATCATGGTAATGGTGGTATCAGGCTCAGATTACAGAACAAAAGACAGATGGAGCGCACGTTACACAGATTGCGACCAAAGCAAATGTCAAGTCAAAAGTAATAGTTATTTATTATACAAGAGTGGAAAGTTCCTTTTTAACCGCGTGCTCGATTTGGATGACCGAGCAAGCGAAGGATTCTAAAGTTGAATCACGAGCGCAGCGAGTGATTCTAAATTAGAATCCTGAGCGTCAGCGAGGGAAACAAACGAGCACAAGGTGAAAAATCTTTCCACCCGAGTGCAATACGTAACTTTTCATCCCACCTCAGCGAGGAAATGACAAAATGAAAAAGAAAACAATTTATAATGACAAAATATTTTTATTTCAATTAAAACACATTAAGATAATCTATAAATTGAAGAAAATAATAAGAAGTAGAAAATAATTAAGAAATATTAAATGTAACGTTGCTACAGTTACTTATGTTAAGTTTAATATTTTTGTTAGGTAATGTTATGTTGGTGTTTGTGAATTGTGCGCTGTTTTGTGGTAAACTACTCGTATCAGTAATTTTAAATAGTTGTGCCGATTCATTGGATTCTATTGGCGTAAATGTTGGCGAGAGAGGGCTATTGTTTCCAATCTTATGGGGGCTCATTTTAGATGTAGAAGGGCGAGACCAAGAATCTGACAGAGGTTCTTTCAGCGTTATGGCCTCTACGATACTATTACAAATTTTTGATTTACTTTGGATTGAATCCTCTATGTATCCGTCTACAACCGAATTAGACTTCCAGCCTCCATGGCGCTTAAGCGATAGAAGATCAGCCCCTGATTCGGCCAAAAGTGTGGCTGAGGTTCTTCTAAAACAGTGACCGGTGTATAACGGGGGTTCTAAAAGTCCGAGAAAAGTTGCTATTTCTCGTGGAATACTGCCAATTTTATTCTGACCCATAGGTTGTCGGATACACTTTCTGTTGCGATATTGTAGAAAAAATCGTTCAATTGGGGTGTTAGAAGGAAGGACGTAAAGCTTGATATTTCTGAACAATGTTTACATATTCCTTGCGAATAACGAAGTTGCGGTCTTTTTTTGTCTTGGTATTTAGTACATTAATTAATAGCAATTCATCAGAATTATGAGAATATTTTGATACGTTATTGACATTAAGTAGTGTAAGTTCATTTGTTCGACATGCTCCGGTTATACCAATAATAAGAACAACCTGTAACAAAAGAAGTATTTATAATCGTAAATAAATTAATCAAATTAAAAATATTGTAAGTACTATGTACAATTTTATCAACAACAAAAAATTACACGTATTGACTTACTTTTGCCGCTAAATATACGGAATCAGGTGCTTCATTAATAAACTTTGCAATTTCAGATGCTGTGAAAACCTTCGATTTTTTTGGTTTATAACCAGATGAGGCTCTTTTTAAAAATGCCACTAATTTATGATAGGTGTCGATATGAACGTCTTTCTTCATCTTAATTGTTAATTTTAGCATTGAATACGTACTCCATAGCGTGCTTGCTTTCTTGGTCTCAGATAATTCTATAAAATATGCCAGCAAAACGTTTTCGGAGAAAGTTTTTGCTCCTTTAGCTAGTCGCCACATGTTAAATATATCGTACTGTTTCAAATACTTCTCTCGTGATTGCTGAGGGAGAAGGCTCATTTGCGCATTATTAACTGTTTCAGTTAACTCAGTTGGCGTTAGATAAACTTCATCGTCGCTAATGTCACTCATTTTAGTTGATTTTTTTGTACAGTTTTTAGGTTATGTTAATTATATTAAGCAATAAAACGTGAAAAACTAGAATGGCGCGAAGCACGCAAATAAAACAAAGAAACCAAGAAGGTTCCAAATTTAAATTTTTTCACAATTTAAAAAGTTCTAATCATAAATTTGGCACCATAGAGGTTACATTAAATAGGTTTAATGACGTTTTGAATTTACAATTATATTGAGTACTCATTATATGTGATGTTCTAAATTCAAATCTACTTTGCCGCTCAAGCGAATAAAATAGAATTTTCCAGCCAGATTTCGAAGCGCAAAATTACACTTTCCGAGGTGGTGGGATGAAAAGACTTTTTTGTCTTTGTGAACAGTTTTGAACAAGGCGATACAGTATTGATAAAAACTTTATATTCACGGGAAGTATTCACAACACGATGCGTTGTAGTGTACTGACGGGAGTTGATATTCCTTTTTGACTTGATATTTGCTATGGTGGCACGCAATCTGTGTAATGTGAGCTCTATCTGCCTGAGTTCTGTAATCTGAGGTATCAGGTATCGAGTTACAGTACTGAATGATACCGTATTATTCGTAACTGTAACTCGACACTGCTTTTGGGAAAGGCACCTCGCGTAGGTACTTTACTGAAAAACAGGTATGTAAACACGCCTGCCTCCAGTATTTTGATTTCATTTTATCGACTTTCTTGAGTTTATTTCTAGTTAAAAGATTGTAAATATCATATTAAATAAAGATAATTCGTTGTAAGTCAGAAGTGTTCAATAAAAATATATTTTGGGTTTTTTTATTTGTCATTTATGTGTTGTGTTGTTGTTTTATAAATAATAATTATAAATAATAAATATAAATAATAATAATAAATATAAAAAAAAAACCTGTTACACATGCCGGCCGGCTTACAGAAAATTCCGAAACGCCGGCAAGTCATAAATAATAACATTAAACATTCATACCAGGTATTCATTCCAATTCAATAAAATTAAGAAAAACAGAGATAATAAAAAAAATACGTGTGGCACTCGAGGACTGCCGCGGTAAAGCTTTCACGGTTGTCGTAGGAGCCGTTGATTGAAACAGTTATTAAACTAATAAAACTATTTATTTATTCCTTTCAGATTACATATTTACTATTCTATGTCTTAATTATTAATGCCGTCGCGACTCACGCGCGTTACTTAATATAAATCAATATTGCTTACTTGCTAAATACACTAATTATACAATACATCTTCCCCCACAAATAAAAAAAAAATAGAAACTATTTATTTTATATTACCAACAACGTACAATATATTTTATTTTTACCTTAAGATTACACTACATACAAATGGTTTTGTCCTATTTTTATGAACAATAATTTCTTTATTGTCTTTAACAATTTTCACATTAGGTGATAAATCGGATATAACTCGATAAGGACCCATATACAATGTATCAAGTTTCGAACCAGTTTCATTTTTCAGTAAAACAAAATCGTTCTCATTATAAGTAATAGGATTGATATTTTTGTCA